GGCGACCTTACTGTCGTCGACGCAAATGCCAGCTGCCGAGATAACAAAGCCCAAAAAGAGGACCGAGTCGACCACAAAAGAGCACTTCCGAGGTGCCGCATAGAAGGACTCAGACCTCAGAATCTGTAACACCGACCGAACGTGCTCCAAATGCTCTGGGACCGTGCGACTATAAATGAAGATGCCATCGAAATAAATTACGACACACCGCCCAATGAGATCACGCAATGCCTGGTTCATCACACGCATGAAAGTGCTGGGGGCATTACAAAGACCAAACGACATTACCAGCCATTCGAAAAGCCTCTCCCGAATTTTGAACGTGGTCTTCCACTCATCACCTGGCCGGATCCGTATCTGATGATAACCACTCCGAAGATAAAGTTTGGTAAAAACCGAAGCACCATGCAACTGGTCCAAAAGTCATCGAGGCGAGGAATAGGAAATTTGTAGCGGACTGTGATCTTATTAATAGCACAGCTATCGACACACATACGCCACGAGCTATCCTTCTTCAGAATGAGTAATGCCGGTACTACACAAGGACTCAAACTGCGCTGAACAACCCCTCGTTGGATTAACTCTTCCACCTGTCGTCGTAACTCTTCATGTTCAGCCGGGCTCATACGATAATGAGGGCGATTAGGCAGTGAAGCGCCCGGGAACAAATCGATATGATGCTGAATGTCCCGAAGCGGAAGAAGATCAGCAGGTAACTCAGCCGGAAAGACATCAACAAATTCAACAAGCAAAGGTTTGATAACATCTGGCGGTGTTGTAGGGGATGGCATATCCGTACCTAGGAGAAGCAAAACACATGGGGCCTCTCGCATCGCGCCCTCAAATGCCGTGTGGGACAAGAATAGAACCTGAGCTAGCGGCGGTAAAGGCAATGGACGAGGAGCGGACGGATGAAGGACCAATCGAACCCCCTCAAACATGAAGCTGTAAGTATTGAGGCGCCCATCGAAAGCCACGGCACGATCGAATTGCCATGGACGACCCAACAAGAGGTGACACGCGTCCATGGGCACCACATTACACCATGCTGAGTCCCGGTACTTGGGCCCGATGGAAAAGTGGACCAACACCCGACGGTCCACTGTGACCGAGTTAGCCCGCTTAATCCATGCTAGAGTGTACGGTTGAGGGTGTGGCACCGTCAATAGCTGAAGTCGTTCCACCGCGTCCTGTGCCACCACATTTTCACAAGAACCAGAGTCAATAATAAAACGAAAAACACGACCACCTACCGTATATGTGGATTCAAAAATATGGTGTCGCTGAAGAGGCTCCGTGGACTCAGAGACCCGAGGCGCCAAACACGAACGCCGAAGAACCAATGCAAGTCCCTCGTCGCCGCACAAATGTTCCTCCACCAGCTCAGGCTCGAAGTCAAAATTCGGCGGGCCATCATAAATGCCCGCAATGCCGTCACCATCCTCGGCCAGCAAAGCCCGAGACCCGCCGCGACGAGGGCACGCGGACTGCCGGTGACCTACCTCTCCGCAAGAGAAACACCAGAGACCACCACCTCTACGCGAACCCTCTACGCCAGCCGAATCCGCACCAATCCCGACCGCCATGCTAGTTGAAGTACCGGTCGTAAAAAATCTGGCCGTCCCAGGCGTGCTGCTGCGATTACCGGTCACAGACGATCGGTTCGATCCCACTAAAGAAGATGGAAGGCCACCCATGCGTTGCTGAAATCCTGATGGCAGTAAGGAGAACCTCGTCTGTTGTTGTTCGATGAGCAAGGCCTATTGATGAGTAGCAAAGACGGTGTCAGGAGAAAACAAATTCATCATGTCGCGAATAGCAAGTCGTAGGCCCCCAACATAATGGGACACCTTCTGAGCCGTCGTCTCACGTAAGCTAACTCGTGTAAGTAGGCGATAGAAATCCTTCATGTACTCATCCACGGAACGAGCACCTTGACGCAAATTATGTAGCTGTTGATATGTGGTACTGACATAGTTGGACGGAAGAAACTCCCGCTCAATATGTTTCTGGAACTTGGCCCACGTTGTGATTTTGGGTTTACCCGAGGGACGTCGTTCATCCTTGAGGTGCTTCCACCAGGTGATTGCCCACCCTCGCAACCGAGTGCCGACGAGGCCAACCCGCTAGTCGTGTGGGACGTCTTTGTAGTCGAAAACAGCCTCCACAGACGCAAGCCACTCGAGAAACTCGGCAGTGTCCAGCCCACCCGAAAATTCTGGGACATCCACGCGAAACGCACTTTCCCAACGCCTTTCTTCACGTAGGTCGTCGTCTGGCCGTGGATGATCTCGCCCGAACGGGTTTTCCTTCTTCTCTGTAGCATCCGAATCGCCGCTCACCTCCGCGCACGGCGAGCGTCGTCTGCCACCAAATCGCGCGTGGCCGCGACCCCCACGGCCACCACAATGCCCACCGCGACTGTCGTCCCGATTATCGAGCCTGTCGCAGTTCGTTTTGTAGCGTCGCATCAGTAGCTGCAGAGCCTTCAGGATATCCGTCATACCCACCGCTAGGTCTGCCATATCTCGGCCCATCGACTCGTTTTGCAGAGTTAGGGCTTCAATCGCCGCATCCCTCCTATCATCAGTTGGATCGTTCTGTTTTGGCCGTATCTAGGATCGTAGTTGAACCCTGGATACCAACTGATGTAGCGCAGCGATAAGCGAAAACGGAACAAGATGAGAAAACTCAATGTGATAAATTATTTTATAAACTTCTGATCGTCTTACCAAATAAATAAATTCCATATAACATGTATTATTCAACTCCTAATTAGGAAAAGGGAAATAAAGCATAATAATAAAATAGATAGGAAATAAATAACTAAACTAAGGACGGTAAACGATCATATTTTTCCATAAATGCCATCGTAATCTCGTCTTCATCACATTGTCATTCCCCCTCTTGTTTAATTGTGCTAAGTTACACAAACATAGCCCATTCAGCCTGAAGAGAGCCTTTAGCCTTAAACTGTACTTGTATGCAAAAGTCATTGCCACTCAAGGCTAAGATATATGTGTCCTTGCCCAAACACAGAAGTAGCCCTCCTCTGGTACCTTGAGATTCCATATATAACCAACATCCTTCAAATCCTAACCTTTTACAACCCTTAGATACATAACATTTTTGTTTTTTTTTTTTACTTCAGACAAAAAGACAAATTTGGATGGTGAGACACGATGGTCTCTCGTAATTGGGGAACTGTAGAGGGCCTACACAGCCCTATGCAGTTGCACACCACAACCCTTATTAATCTTGGTGGGCTATTTGTGGCTGGCTTCCTCCACCATGGTTCCTTTCAGTTTAGCCTTTTTTGACTCACATATAATGATTTGTGACCTTCTTCTTCTCGTCTGCCATGATCTTTCTCTGTCTGGGCTCTTTTATATCTCATCAAAGGGAGCTTTGTCGCTATTGGATTTTGACTTCTCATTAGTCTTCCTTCATCGACTGTTTTTCTCCTCCAATGATAAGTTGGATTAATAGTTTTTTCTCTACAACAGGTAAAGAGGTCTTAATCAGAGTTGTGATAAATGCATTACCAGTGTTCTCAATGTCATGTATTAGATTACTTGTGGGCATTTGGGAGGAATTAAGCAGGCTTACAGCTTCTTTTTGGTGGAGTAAGGGAGAGAATCTTGATAGAGGCATCCACTTGAAGAAATGGAGTAGTCTAGCACTACCTAAAAGCAATGGAGGACTTGGCTTTTAGGATTATAAGCTCATCAATGAAGCTCTTATGATGAAACAATTATGGAGAATCACCACCATGCCATATCTCTTGGTGGTGTAGATTATTATTATTATTATTATTATTATTATTATTATTATTATTATTATTATTATTATTATTATTATTATTATTATTATTATTATCATTATTATTATTATTGTTATAGCAATTAATATTATTTAAGAATTAGTAGCTTAGAGAATAAGCTAGGGTATAGTTTGAGGGATTCATTTAAAGAGATCTTATGCTTTGTTATTGAGGAGTTGATTCTGAATGAAATAAGATATTGTTGAGTTTTACGTGTTATACGAGAAAGTATCTCGTTTACTCGTTTATCCTTCAAATTCATACGCTTCCCTACATCAGTTGGTATCAAAGATCAACACGATTCACGATGCTGTCGCGAAGACAAGATGCTGCAAACGACATACGGTTGCCGCCATCTACAACCTGAGCCGCTAGACCGAGTGGTTTGGCCGCCAGCTCTCGAAACGATGGGTTGTTAGATTGTAGATATATCCGCAGAGATCAGGGACATACGACTAACTATCCGTACCATGGTTCGGGACAAGCAAACGAACCGCGACTTGGCCTGCCGGGGCGGCCGCGGGGGTTATGGCGGAAGTCGTTGTGGAAGAGGGCCTGGCGGGGCACCCTATCAGCATACGCGACCACAGACGCACGGCGAGGACGACGGAGAAGAAACATTGTCGGAGGTCCACCCTTTCAGCTTCCGACAGGCACAACACGACGACGATCGGACTTGAAGTCATCGTTCCAAGTTGAAATCCTCAAATTTTCAGGGGCCTTTGTAGACACACGAGGGTCGATCGAATATAAGGGTCCGCCTCGTTTTGATGACGAGGGGTCGACTGAATATACGGGTCTACCTATTGTTGATATCGAGGAGTCGACAGGTTATGAGGGTCCACCCGTTTTTGATGAGGAGCCATCTGTGGCGTCGATGGAGGACGAGTGCCATGTGGTTGTAGAATCATATGTGAGGCCACGGGTTGTGCCTGGAATGGATGTTTTCAGTGAATTGGAAGATGGATTTTCATGGTCTTTTATTCAACAAGCATATGTGTCTGATAACTCGCATATTGTGCTTGAAAAGGATAAAGTGGAGAGTTGGTGTCATAGATTTTTTCTTGTGAGTATACCATGTTCATGGCCCGTCAAATTGGTCAGGTCAGGATTGTGGAGCAGTTGAAGACGAGATTGCTCTGGATTCGAGGGCAAATGTTTTTCGACAAGGGGAGAATGATGGAGATAAGGATATTTAGAATCTTTAATCTAAATATTTGTTTCCCTCTTTGTTATTATTATTATATTATTATTATTATTATTATTATTATTATTATTATTATTATTATTATTATTATTATTAGTGGTATTATAGATTTGTTAGGTAACTTATTTATTTATTACTTTGTTAGGATTCTTGTCTTGTTGAACAAGTTATTATTAGGGTTTCAAGAGTCTTATTTAAAGGATTAATATGCAGTTGATTATTGAATGAAAATATGAATAGATATATTGTTTTGGTTCTTGAGATTGCCATCTCATTAATATCTTCCCACTCGTTCGCTTCCCTACATCACAACTTACTGGTGCAATCTTCTCGACGTACAGATTAAATCCATCACTATCTAAGACGTATCTCCTACCTTCCTGCTCCAATCAGAATCAACCCCACTCCCCTCCAATCAATCCCCTCCTAACGAAAAACTGGCCATCGTCGATCGGACGCTAGAGGATGGCCTGGGCCTCGGCATCTACAAGCTATACTGGTGGGCCAGCTAGGGCAGGCGCCTATCCGGAAGAAACAGAAGAGCGGGAAAACAGTCACGCTGTTGTCCGTGGGAACCGGAGGTATCCAGAACAATCGGAGGCCGTTGGACCACGAGGACCCGAGGGAGTACGCCAACCGCTGCAACGTGCAGTGGCATAGGGTTGCGGCGTACCCACAGAGGCTGGGCGACCTCGCCGTGAAAAGTTCCATCCCTTGCTCGATTATGTATGTGGAGGGGAATCTGGAGTCGAAGATCTTCAACGACCTCATCACGAGTCTCATCCGGCGGATACGAGAGGTGTCTGTGCGGAAGAACGAGCGGGTCGTATTCTTGGGAAGTGGAGGTGATTCGAAGCAGACTTCAAGGGCTGTGGTTTCCGACGTTGGCTATTATTGAGGTGATTTTGCCTTATATCTAATTAATATAATATGTTCCATTGAATTGTTTTTTATGAAGAAAAAAAATCTATATCTATATAATGGACCAATCCTTATTGCCATAGTTGGCATGATTTTGGGCGGGAAATTTTTTTTGTCTATTTTTTGCATTTAATTAATATTTATTTATTAACAAATCTTATGTATGAAAAAACATAATTAATTTTTATACACTCAATGACTACTACTCATTAACTACAAATTGGCTTAAATTGAAATTATGACCATAGATTTATTAGATATTTTTTTCAATAAAATCTTATATTAATTTATTGACAAATTGAAAAAATTATTATGGAAATTGATTTGATTAAATATATTATCATCTATGGTTGTATGTATTAATTTAATGGATTATATTCAAAATATTTAATAAAATAATTAAAATAACTATGTTTAAATCATACTAACTTAATAAATAATTTAAAATATTAATAAAAGTTTCTGAAATGTAGTCAATTTAATTATAAAAAGGTCATCCCCATTGTGTATATCAGATGTAGTGATAATACCGTTGAAAATTTAAATATTATACTGACAAAAATAAAATTTGATGGTCGGGTGCAAATCAGAATTACAAATTTCAGCTTTCAATTTTTAAAATTATATGTTTTTTCGTATACATTTTGTAAATGAAAATAAGTTAATAAAATAGTGTGATAATTTAATTTATAGCACTTGGTAATTATAATAATATATAAAATATCTAAATAATCGAATAGATACTATGTAACTAATTATATAAGTTAAAAAAATGAACTAAAAAAATAAATTTAAATAAAAAAATAAAATATTTAACCATTAAAAAAATGTGTTTCATAAGAATTAAAGTTACTAAAATTAAAATTTATCTATCAAAGTTATTAACATTTAATGCCTTAATAATTGTAGCGGAAGCTAAATATTACGGGTTAAACGTTGGTCAATTATCAAGCAATGTATAAATCATGAATTGTTGATAAAATTATAAGACTATGATAAACGACAATTTTATAAGTACCTACAAGTAATTTTATTCAAATATCATATAACCTTATACATTTATAATATTTTGTAGACTTATAAATAATAAATTTATATATTAAATAGCCAAAAAATACAAATATATATATATATATATATATATTATAAAGTAACGATAACAGTAAATAAATAAATATCATATTATTACTAAATAGAATATTGTGGATAATATAATTTCATATTATTTTAAATAATTTTTGAATATAAAAAAATATCTTTTATCCCGTGCATCGCACGGGTATCAACACTAGTTGTGCTGAAGGGGCAAATTCAGGGGCGGAGCCAAAATTTGATATCTACCCGGGCTAAATTTATTTTTTTTTATGAAAACCCGCATGCCTTATAAATAAAATTTTTAGAATGACCAACTAAAAACTAAATTAGTCAAAAAAAAAAAGAAAAAAAAAAACTTATGAAACAAACTTTATAAATTATACTTACCAAACTTTAAGTGTGACCAACGTACTAAACACTAAATGAGTCCAAAATAAAAAAGAAATTACTTTATATACATTCAGTACTAATTATATTTAATGTGAAGTATATAAATTGAAAAATTAACAAAATAAGCAAAATTTAGTATCTAACTAATAAACAAAAGAACTTTCAAACATAAATGGAATATATAATTAGAATATTAATTATTGTATAAAATTACATATTAAAGGTGAACTACGTGCAAAATATAAACTAATGGAAACAAACATAAATCTTATTATAAAGAGACTGAATATGTACCTTTTAATAAATATCCTTAATAAATAAATTAGACTTTATGTATGAATAATGGCCTATTCTTCTAATTAAAATTTAGTTAGTTATCAAGCACGTAACCCACTTAATGGAATCTGGACCAAAAAACCAAAAAAAAAAAAAAATAAATAAATAAATAAATAACATGTTAGTTTTTCATATGCCATCGGGCTAAATTTTGTTTTTCTAGAAAGCAAGAATATTATATACTATTCTTCTATTAAATGATAATTGAGGGGCACCCGGGCTACAGCACAGGCTCACTTGTAGCCGCAAATTGGTATTAGTCTTAATTTTTCAGAATCTTTGTAGTAACTTGTTTTTTTATTGCTTGTAAAAAATGTGTTGAGCTTTTGGCCATTTTACTGAAATGTTTCTCTTTGTTCTTTGGTAATCGGATATTCTACTTTTCTAAAGGTTGTTATAATATGTACAGTAAGCGAGTCTGATACGTATTTTTAGGATAAACAAATTAGGGTGAAATTTGAGGAATTTCGTGATGCATTGGTTAGGATAATAGAGATGCTAACTTTGTGTTATGTGAATTAGTATATTTTTAGTTCTCTTGAGACCGAAAATTATATAGTAAAGAATAACTAGCCTGACTAGAAGTCTTTTTTTTTTCTCCAAACGATAGATTATAGCATTAAAGAACGAATAAACCACCCAAGAGCGCTTGGATGAGATGGCGTGGGTCTCTTCCAGCTTAACCAGTGGTCTCGTGTTCGAGTCCTGAGAATGCAGCAGTGTTAAACCTCTTGAGGGAGAGCTTTGCCGCCCTTGTGGTCCTACCCGGCTCGATTTCGGATTAGTAGGTTCCCCTGTGGATCCAGAAATCGGAAGGTCCCTGTACCCAAAAAAAAAAGAACAAATAAACCGAAAAAATTTCAAACAATATTACATCTACAATGAGAGACTCACTCATGGAGTGATCTAGAGACAACAACAAGCAAATACGAGAAAAACCGGGGATACAACCACCGGGACTTTCCTTCGAATAAACCAGAAAACCAAAGCAACACCTCCACTAAACAACAAAAAATAAAAAATAAAAACAAAAAACAAAAAACAAAAAAAAAACAAAAAAACAAAAAACACCGGGAAAAAGACACCAAACACCTGAGCTACCTTTTCAGGCCAGCATACTCTTGACTTTCTCTCCAAGCCCCTCGAACCACGATCTTTTTCGGGATCCAAACAATTTCAAATAGCCACAGATTCCGAGAAGGCCATAGCCACAATAAAATGTATGTAGATAATTGGATACGGTCTTCGACGATATCAGAGTTACCTATATCATATAACTGCCATCACCACATTTTAAAGAATGGTGTGTTCATGTGGATCTCCTCCCAATCAATAGTCGGTAACTTCCACACTAACTTGGCCCTGCTCAGGTAAGAAGAAGGTTTCTTCTGGTTCAATCTGATCCTCACACATCTTACAAATCGAATATGCGAGCATCCCCCTTTTAGCCACATTGATGCTCACTGGTAAAGGCCCTGTGAAACACTTCCATAGAAAATGTTTGAGCTTCCCTTTAACTTTCAGCTTTCAAGTTCTGTTCCTGGATTTTTTGTCCATCAGGGTTGACCCACTCCCTTCAGCTACATCAGTTCTAAGCATTTTCTGGACCAATAGGTGGCTATAGGAACTTGCAACTGAAAAGTTACCATTTCCATCTATTATCCACCTCCATCTATCAGGTTTGTCAGGTGCAAGGGACTTGATGTCAATGATAGTTGCTCTGTCCCTATCAATAAAGAGTTGTTTCAGCAGCTCTTCATTCCACTCTTTACCATTCTCACTCATCAGTTCGCTAACCCAAATTGGAGTCTACCTGTCAGAGGCCACAAGGGTTGGACTACCTTGATTTAGGTTTGGCACCCAGCTGGAATCTTGAATTTTTGTTAATTTGCCATCTTTGAACTCTCTCATTAATTCTTTACAAAACAATGGCATAACATCTACCCAGTTATTCCAGAGCCATGAGGTTGACTGACTCCTCTGTACCTAAAAAATAGAAGATGTGGGGTAGTACCTGGTCTTGAGCACTTGACTGACCAAGTGATGTAGGGAAGTGTACGAATGAGAAGCATAAACGAGTAAACGAGATACTCTCTCGTAAAACACGTAAAACTTAACAATATATTATTTCATTCAAAATCAACTCCTCAATAACAAAGCATAAGATCCCTTTAAATAAAGATTTCATGGATTTAATGTGGCAACTTTTTCTTTTTCAACAACGGCACATTGAATCTCATATAACAACAATAAAAGTTTTACAACCTGGGGAATCAACTAATCCCAGAACAAACAGCCACACCAGGTCACACCAGGGTGCCCTAGACTAATAAAATAGACAAATACATAAAAAGAGTAACTTACAGCCTAATACAAAAATGACTAGCTAACAAGAAGAAAGCCATCAAACAATATAGCAATCCAGATCAGATAACCCAACAACATCCACTAAAGGCTACTATCAATAGTAGAACCCTTCAGTATGACTTGAAAAACCAATCAACCATCACATACTTGATAAGAAAATGAATCAGCACAACCAACATAGGAACACCTTGCCACTGAACCAAGCAAGGACCAAACAAGATATCCATATGTAGATCAGCACTAACATTTCTTAACAGAAGCAAATTCAATCCACTCCCTAGTTGTAGCTCTAACCACTTCCTTTCAGGCATAAGAGAGTGTTGGAATTTCCAAAGATTCCTGGACTTCTACAGTCGCCATAAAATATATGTAATGAACTGTTTTATATCCTGAGATGTTGTTGATCTATCCAAAGAACACACATCCCACCACCATCTTTTAAAACTACTACACTCACCTGAATTACCATCCCAAGTAACTGGGGACAACTTCCATACCCTTTGATTTCTAGGACAGTGGAAGAAGATATGCTCTGAACTTTCCATGGCCTCACGACAACTGTTACACACTAGATGAATATTCAGACCCCTTGAGTTTAAATTAAGGCTAGAGGGTAGAGAGTTACTGTAGCACTTCCATAAGAAGTGTTCAGTTTACTTTTAACCCTCAGAGCCCAACTTCTATTCCTGACTTTCTTGTCCTGCAAAGCTGATGAACTTCCTTCTGCCAAGTCCTTTTTCAAGATCTTATGTCTAATAAGATTTGAATATGTACCACCCACAGAGAATA